ACATTTTTTAAGCACCCAAGGAGTTGCCATGTGGACTGTCCTACCCTCCGGATTTATCAAATTGCCTATGACATCATTTAGGAAGCTAGGCTGTTCTCTACGTTTTCCAAAAGCTAGAGTTTAAGATTCACGTCTGCTTAGATATAGGATAAATTTTTGGGAAGGAGGAGAAAACTCCTTCAGGTGATACTATCTATTTCATACCACATCTCCCCAGGGGGATCATAATATCAGGTGGTCCCAGGGGCAGCAATGATGTTTGATGCCTTTGCTAAGTGATGATGACCAAGTAGATCCCTTATGAAGATACATTTTTCATTTTAGGACTAGTAAGTAATCCTCAGAGTGATCTCATGTTGAGTGAATATCCTTTTCCAAAACTGCCTTGTGCCTAATGGTTTTATGCATCTACAAAAGTTCCTTCCCTAAACTATTTCATTGGAGGCTGTAAAAGTGTCATTTTGTAATCATGTCCTTCTATCTGTAGTTATTGGTTGTCATTCTTCTGTGGAGAAGACCCTTCTTTCCCTCATGATCTGGATATTCCTTCTAAAAAAGGCAGAATATATGTCACTTCTTTCCCTTAAATTAATTTTTTTTCAGACTGAGGAAAACTGGATTTGCCACCTTCGAGAGTAGCAATTGGTGCTTTTCTTTTTTATTGTAATCATGGATTATTCTCTTAAAAAATAATTTGGTATATCACCATCTGTTATGGATTACAAGAGAACAGAGAGACATTAAAACCAAATGCAGTATGTGAATGGTGTGAGATTCTTGAGCTGAAAATAAAAAATGTTTTGGGAAAACTGGGATATTTTGAATATATTTTGACATTAAGTGATGGTATTTGGAGGCACCTGGGTGGCTCAGTGGTTGAGCATCTGCCTTTGGCTCCAGTCATGATCCCGGGGTCCTGGGATCAAGTTCCGCATCTGGTTCCCCTGCAGGGAGCTTGCTTTTCCCTCTGCCTGTGTCTCTCATGAATAAATAAATAAAAAAATGTTAAAAAATAAGTGATGGTATTTGCTTACTTTTATTAGGAGTTACAAGAGCGATGGGGTTACTTAGAAAATTGCTCTTATTTTTTTAAAAATATTTTATTTATGTATTTGGGGAGGAGAGAGAGAGAGAGAAAGAGAGAGAGATCACAGTGGGGGATAGGCCAGAGGAAGAGGGAGAAGCAGATTCCCTACTGAGCAGGAAACTTGAAGCAGGGCTCGATCCCAGGACTCTGAGATCATGACCTGAGCCTGAGGCAAATGCTCAACTGACTGAGCCGACCAGGTACCCCATAATATTGCACTCTTATTACTAAAAGAGGCATGATTAAATATGGAAGCCTAAAGCTTCATGATGCCTGAAACATTTTCAAATGGTCAACAAAATATGTGTGGTTTGAGTATTTCTATATAAATAATTCAATTCATAATTACCGTGTATTTGTATCGTCCTTTCCATTTTTTGTATGTTTGAAAATTTTTGCAATAGTTGGAAAAAATCATGAAAATTGATTTTGCATGATCAAGCTAAATTGTCCTGGAACACCTAAACATATATATGCAAGTTACATAAAATAATTTTAGGATCCTCAGGGCTGACCATCTCTATCCAAGCCTGAGAAGCAAGAACTCATCTGAATCAGCACCTAATGCATCATAATGTGATGTTTACAGTGTGGCTGGCTTCTTGCCCCTCTGACTTTAATTCTCCCTATGGATTCAAGGCTCTGATTTAGGGCCATCCAGGACCAGCTACAAACTTTTCAGGGTCTAATGCAAAATGGAAATGCAGGGTCCTTTGTTAACAAATTATTCCTGATTTTAAGACGGCACAATAGAGTATGAAACCGAAGGAAGGGCTCCTCCTGTAAGCATGGGGTCCTGTATGAAAAATAGGCATAAGCCCATCACCCTAGCCTAGGGGCTACCTTCTCTCCTTAGAAATATCCCCCATACTTGGGCTGTTAAGATCCAAGCTTACTCAAATGCTTAGTTAAAAATGCCACCAGAAGACAGCACAACCCTCCTTAAGGGCAGAAGTAATGAATTATTTTCTCTTTCTTCCACTATGCCATTATGCTTTGTACCTTATAAGCCCTTAAAGTAAGGGAGATGGGATGGTTAGTGAATTTACAAGGGGTGGATTTGATCAAGGTCCACTACTTCATAGATTTGCTTCTTCCCAAATGTCTTAAACTCTTGTGTATCCATATTCTTGACTTAGGAAAATCTCTATCTCACAGAGATCTTACATGCGAAAATATTGTCTCCATTAGGTCTAAAACACAAGTATTAGTGAATGAACAAATAGTTTGAGTGACCCACATGTGGTCCATATCGATGCTGTACCAAGAGAGGGGGAAGGAAGGGGTCAGCAGCCCATCTTTCATGGGGCTGATGCAGGCAGCCAAATCCATAACACATATCCTCTGATTCCCTGTCATCAGGTCACCAGATAATCACAGGCAAATCCTACCTGAATTGTATTATCCAGGTGTAGACGGAGAAAGATAATATGATTCTTCTTGGTAATACATGACGAGGCAGCATAGCTCAGAAAAAATAATGCATTCTCTAGTTAGCTTGGATTCCTTTCAGTAGCTATGAGATCCTAAGCATGTAAGTCAGCCTTCCTGAGGCTCTTATTCCTCATCCATAAAGTGAGCACAACAATACAACGCACGGTGAAGGCTCGACTTTACTGGGTGCCAGAGTAGCAGCATTAGGGTGATCTCCCACACATGGCGGTTTACATAGCAGCCACAACAACATCACGTTTGTGACAAAGATGTTTTCCGTCGCAGTGAATTGCAAACGGTAGCCTATTAACCGCTAGATTCCCTGCTCATGATCACAACAGCCAAATTCTCTTCTTGCTTTTGCTTTGTCTTCATTCACTGAATTTATCTTAAAACAATTTGACTCCACAGAATTAAAAGATATTTCTGGCTTTCTCTTATCTTATTAGGACCTGTATTATCCTGTTGGGATTTTAGGAGCTGGAGTCCCTGGGTCTTATCCGTGATTTCAGGAGGTAATGCCTTGTTAGAATTCTTGTTAATGTCAGACTTAATCTAGCTCAGTAGTCTCGGTGCAGATGGTCATTACGGTGGCATTTTTTATGTTGCAAACCTAAAGTACATAATTTTGCACTTTTTAAAAGTATCATTTTAAAATTAGAGGTTGCTTTACCCATTAGAGTCTAACGTAGAAAGGATATACCAGGATAGTACACTGGCATATTTTTTTCTGTTTAATTAATCAGGGAAGAAGATCACATTTTTTAAATGCATGGGCTAATTTTTATGGAGAGTCACATTCAAAATCCAGCACTGTATTTCATTCATTTATTCATTCGGTTTAGTCATTTACTTCTTCATTCATTCAACAAAGACATATGGACTATGTAACTGGCACTGTTTTAGGTGCTATTCAGACAAACCAGATACAACTGTGTGGCTTTTCCTATAAATGATTTCACAGTCTCGCACGATGTAATCTGTGCTTTAATTAAGGCTTTCACAAGGGCACAGGGATCAGACAAGGAGGAATGCCTAAGTCTCTTTGAAGGCGTTGGTACCCAATATTTGAAGACAGAAGTCTGGAGAAGGCAGAGAAGCTAGGAAGATCATTCCAGGCAGAAGAAACACAAGAAAATATGTTTCTAACTTGTATCAAGTGTGTCTGCATAGTAGTGAAAAATCTCCCCTGTGTGGTAGGTAAACACAGGTAAAGCTCCCTGCATTTAGAGATGTTTGAACAAAGTCTGCCTGTCAATCTAACAGGTGTATTGAGGAGCATAGGGGGTTGTGCTATAGGCCTCTGTAATCATTTTAAATCTTGAGATTTTACATACAGCTGGATCTGCATGCAATTTACTCCAAATAATGAATGGGAGCAAAACCAAAGAACGAAAAGAATCAAAGTTGAGCAGAAAAAGTAACAGGCAACCTAAAGAAGTGTACTGAAGAGCTGAGAAACGGGTCAGATGGCAATCGGAAAAATGAGCCCCCAAGCCAGAAACCAGCAAGTTCCAGGAAGTTCTTGCTGTCTGGGTGAGAAGTTCAGGATGGAGAGAATAGTGATGCAAAGACACTGAGAACCCCATTTCTATGTGGCACAACTGTGTTTCATTTGCTTGGCAATGGGCCAGACTGCTGAAAGGCATCCAGAAAAATCATACACCCCCAACTGGCTCTCCAGAGCTTACAGAGGTGAGTGACATGGGGACGTGGGACTGGGAACCGGATTTGGGTAAAACAAAGAAAATACCCGAGATAGATCATCACTTCATCATTGTAACACTTCACAGTACAACACTCGCGTCCAGGAGGTCCTGTTAGCAAGGAGTCATGGTAAGATTTGCACCGCTCTCTGCAGTTCTGTGCTCATCACACTTCATCTTCAAAGCAGTCCTGAAGAAAGGGAGCCTTGGCTCCTCTTGAGAAACATGAGCAGAGTGACCCACAGCATGTTTGTCTCATCCAAAATCATGCATAAAATTAGGTTTTGAATACCCAAAAGTAGGCTTTTTCCTGGCACTTTCTGTTACTGTCTTTTTGGAGTGGCAGTTAATTCATCTGTCAAATGGGGTAACAATTCTAAATCCAATTATCTCAAAGATTTACTGTGAAGATCCAGGGAGATAATACACTTAAAAGTATTGCACAGAATATAAAAGGTCAGCCAAAAGTAGTTCATGGGGTAATAGGTGATGGCAAAGGAGGAGGATGAGGAGAAGGGAGAAAAAAAAAGGAAAGGAATCAGGATTTAGGATTCTCTTTCATCTTTTTTGATCCACGATCGAAACCTCAAGTTTCTTCTATATTCTGTTCTGTTGTCACAGTGAATTCTGGGTGGTTTATTCACACACTCTCCTTTTTTTATTTTATTTTTTTAACATTCTTAGTTTATTAATCCTCTCATGAAAAATCTGCACAATCACCACAGATAAAGCCACTGGAGAATCTTTACTCTTTCTGTTGTCCAATCTCCAGCTCACTTTTTGCCAGCACCAACGTTGGCTTTTGCAGTCCCCCTGACTTTCTTCATTCTGCTTTTGCATTCTTTGAACTGTTTTCTTGATGTCTTTTTCTTCTCATACAGGTCATGTCTTGCAAGTTTATGTTTGGGTTCATTTTTCTTTGTGTAATCCAAGGAATCATAAATCATAAAACTGCTAAAGTGAGTTGTCTTGCCACCACCAAAATGGGTTCTGAATCCAAATACAAATATGGGCACTTGACGGGATGAGCACTGGGTGTTATTCTATATGTTGACAAATTGATCACCAATAAAAAATAAATTTATAAAAACAAACAAGCAAACAAATATGACATCTGGTGTGGTCTTGTACATTTTGGCTAGTTTTTCCCAAATTTCTGTCTTCCTGGTGTGAAGAACATCGATGACCATCTGTTTCTCCTGAAGCAGTAGGTTGGTCATGAACTTCCTGGTCCGGATTATTACCATGTCGTTCATGACGGTAGCCAAGCTTCAAGCAGCATGGAAGGAAGAGACACACTCTTCTTTCAATGCCGTATTGGAAGGTTTACTCTTTAGCTCATGTTTTTATAATTTTTATGTATGTGTGTATGTATGTACTTTAATGATGGCAGGTTTCCACTTTCACAAATTTATTTGACTCTTTTTTCCAAACCTTTTTGTTTGTTTTTTAAGTTGTCCTGTACTCATCCTGTGGACTCAATTGTCTATGGTTGTTTTTTTTTAAGATTTATGTATGTATGTATGTATGTATGTATTCATTTATTTGAGAGGGAGAAAGAGAACACAGGCAGGAGAGACAGAGGGAGAGGGAGATAGAGAAGCAGACTCCTCGATAAGAGAGGCTGACTTAAGGCTTGATCTCATGACTCTGAGATCAGGACCTAAGCCAAAATCAAGAGTCCAATACATAATCAATTGCGCCATGCAGGTGCCCCACAATCTTCTATTTTTTAAATTTTAAAAAATATTTCAAACATAATCATCATAGAGGTCAGATGCCACCATTTGAATTTTATGGGGGACAGTTCCATTCATTTTTGAGTCTGCTGACTTACTGTCATGGGGGCTGCAGTTCAAAGGAAGAAAAGAGGCATCTGATTTAGGAAGTGAGAAAAACTTTGGGTTGGGATGGAGGCAGATGTGTGTGAGAGAGTGTGTGTGTGTGTTTGTGCACGTGTAATAAAAAGACAACCATTACTATGAGTTATACTTTCAGGAGCCCTCAGTGCTGTTTGGACAGATTTAGTGCTAAGCATGTTAGTTGCAGGAATTCAGTTGTTTCTCACATTCAGTGGGCAATAAACCCAACCTTGACTTAAATATGAAGGAGTAGAACAATTTTCACAAGTTCGAGGAGTGGACAGTTTAGATTGGAACTCAAAGACATTCTTCCAAATTGCAGCTTCTTCACTGTTAAGCTACCGCTAGTGAGTATGATCTTAACCAACAGAAGTTCTCTGAAATGTTCCCTGCTACTCTCAGAAGTACGAGAAGAGAGAAGTTATCTATTTTAAATGAATGTTATAGGATTTTATTTAGCTGAACTATTTTTATTTTGAGAACATACAGGCAGGTTTTGGACAAACTGTTATTGCTTCTTTGCTCTACAATCCACTGTCTTGTCAACTTTTAAGTTGTGCACGGAGAGGGAAGATGTGGAGTGGGAGAACAGAAAGTGTGACTCTGCTTGGAATGTCAGTGTGCTGAGAAAAAACTCAGGGAAATTTCTCCAATCCTGGAGCTGAAATTTCATATAAAGAGACATACTTAGGGTTTTCACACAATAGATTAAATTGGAAGAATTCTATAGGCCTAAATTTATTTTTTAAATGTATATATGTTGACAAAATATTTGGCTTGACCTTTGGACACATCTGTGGAAACGGATACAAACCCTAGGGGACACATGCAAAGAGAAAGTGTTGCATCTCCTTTCTGGGTGGGACACCTTGAAGCATAGAATCTATGACCGCAGAGCTATTGCTGGCAAACTGCTGAAATCACGATCAGTAGAGTGTTTCCAGGAAGAGAGAGAGAGAAAAAAATAAAGATCGCTTAGCAACTTAGTGACTGTCAGGGATCCGGGTGGGCCCTTTTGTCCCTAACACTCTGGTTCATTTGAAATGTTGGTTTCTTGATGTTTAAAATAAATGCCATGAAACAGATTGGTGTATGATGCTCCTTCCAGCTCAAAGAGTCTATGAGCGTAGAATGTCACACCTGTGTGGCCCCCCAGCAAGATCACATGCGGTGGTCGGGAAATTACTAAGAGGGATCCTGGAGTTATTTTCAATGATTTAAAAAGCCAAATAGAAATCATGTTTAATCTTGAGAAAATCTCTAAGTGAAATGTCAATGATTTATATAATTATAATTATTAATAATTAATAATTATCTCAACTTTCTGTAATAAATCCAATCTGCTTCTGCTGATCTAGGGATCTAGTAAATAGCAAATCTCTTTTATTAACAAAAAATATAGGATTAAAATATCATTCACTATTAAAAAAGAGTTGAGTTTTTGTTTTGTGTGTATTTGTTTTCAATAAGTAGAGAACTGGGTTCTGGTAAATGTGGGATAGCTATGCCACTGTTAGTGTACATTTCTTTTCAAAAATTATTTTTTACTTGAAAAACCATGCTAATGTTGTTCTGGTAATCTTATTTCTGAGAGTCTACGTAAAGAAAATAATCTAAAAGGAAAGACTGCTTATTTTTTTTTTATTGGAGTTCAATTTGCCAACATATAGCATAACACCCAGTGCTCATCCAGTCAAGTGCCCCCCTCAGTGCCCATCTCCCAGTCACCCCCACCCCCCACCCACCTCCCCTTCCACTACCCTTTGTTCATTTCCCAGAGTTAGGTATCTCTCATGTTTTGTCACCCTCACTGATATTTTCAAGCATTTTCTCTCCTTTCCCTTTATTCCGTTTCACTAATTTTTATATTCCCCAAATGAATGAGACCATATAATATTTGTTCTTTTCCAACTGACTTATTTCACTCAGCATAATACCCTCTAGTTCCATCCATGTCAAAGCAAATAGGGGGTATTTGTCGTTTCTAATAGTTGAGGAATATTCCATTCTCTACATAGACCACATCTTCTTTATCCATTCGTCTGTCAATGGACACCGAGGCTCCTTCCAGTTTGGCTATTGTGGACATTGCTGCTAGAAACATCGGGGTGCAGGTGTCCTGGCGTTTCATTGCATCTGAATCTTTGGGGTAAATCCCTAGCAGTGCAATTGCTGGGTCGTAGGGCAAGTCTATTTTTAACTCTTTGAGGAACCTCCACACAGTTTTCCAGAGTGGCTGCACCAGTTCACATTCCCACCAACAGTGCAAGAGGGTTCCCTTTTCTCCACATCCTCTCCAACATTTGTGGTTTCCTGCCTTGTTAATTTTCCCCATTCTCACTGGTGTGAGGTGGTATCTCATTGTGGTTTTGATTTGTATTTCCCTGATGGCAAGTGATGCAGAGCATTTTCTCATGTGCTTGTTGGCCATGTCTATGTCTTCATCTGTGAGATTTCTCTTCATGTCTTTTGCCCATTTCATGATTGGATTGTTTGTTTCTTTGCTGCTGAGTTTAATAAGTTCTTTATAGATATTAGATACTAGCCCTTTATCTGATACGTCATTTGCGAATATCTTCTCCCATTCTGTAGGTTGACGAAAGACTGCTTACATGAGAATGTTTATTTTTTCTAGACCAATATACATCACATCAAAAACCTAAGAGCAACATAAAAGACCAAGAATGCACTAGTGAAATGGATTCCTCTCCTATGTCATGTTGCAAATGTTGATTAGAAACAGCCATAGAGATAATGGAAATAATTCTGTTATAATGTTTAAAATTGAAAACGAGATAAAATTGCATGTGCATTTGGTTTATAACTATGCAAAATATACATAGAAAATGGACTGGAAGAGAAACCAAAACATATTTTTTTCAATTAGTGTGGATATTAAAATACGCACATAGAATATGTGTATTCACATAGAATGGATTGGAAAGGGAAATTCAGATCCAGAGCTGGTTTTTTAATTTCTGTGGATATCAGTAGTAGCATCGTTCCTTTTAATTAGTTTGAGGATCAGTGTGATTTTATTCGTTAGTGTGGATTTTTTTTATTCCTGCATGTATTTTTCTTATTTTTTCAAATGTTTGTAATGCCTTTACATTAGTTTTACAAGTAAAATATTAAAGTGAGGATCAAAAGGAAGCTTAATTTATAAATATACTTTGGTTAGTGAAAGATAGCAGACTATGGGGACTTCTTGAGGGAAGACGAAAGAAAATATGATGCAGGGAAGGTACCGAGTATGTTTGTTGTGTTTTGGAACCTCTACTATGGATGTAACTTGATACTTGACAAAAGCTTTCCCAGCGAGCCTAGCACCATGCCCGGCTCACAGGGCTCACTATTTGCTAACTGAATGTGCTCGGCTACCACCACTGAAACCCTTTGCCAGAGGGGAGACCTGAATCACAGGCGTGAAGGAGGTGCCTGGACCCGTGATGCAGGTCCCAGTGGCCATGCTAGAAGGAAGTTGAAATCCTCACATCCTTCTGCAGCAGGGTTTCCCAGACAGAGCTAAGCAGCGCCTCTGCAAAGGTATTTTTCCTTATAGTGACATTATCATCGAAAAATTTTCAACCATTCTGGAAAAAGACCTTCATTAAAGTTTAATATTCTCCTCCAGGTGAGAACACTTGGCGCTTCAAACCTCATGACGGTTTCTAATTACAAACAATGAACTGCCCTTTCAAATTATGCCAACAAAAATTGATTTTACATGTATCAAAGTTTATTACGAACTCTGAAAGTCCTGCATTTTTTTGTTGCCACTTCCAAGGCAGTTGGCAGGGCAGCAGTCAGTATTGAAAGGTCAAGGTGGAAAGAGATTATTAGAGGAATGAATAACAAGTGAGTTGTGTTTTTCCTTCTCAAGTGATTAAAATGAGAATATCACCCAAAACTGTATCAGCGGCTGTCTGGAGCTGTTTCTGCCACCACTCTTCCCCTAGTTGAGTCTACAGCATTGCCTCCTAGTGACTTGGTCTAACATGCCCTGAAGAACCAATATGGTAGACGTAGGTGGGATCTTGATGTCAGTCCTGGGGTCAAGTCTCCTGCTAATCTTGGTCAGTCCATCTTCCTTTATCTGAAGATCTCCAACCTGGGTTTTATTCATTGATTGATTCCCTTATTCAAAATTATGATGTCCCTAACATGTGCACTGTGAAAGCAAGCATGTCAACCCTCCTGACATAGCCTAAAAGAATTGAGTCTACTGCACTATTCCTCAGTTTCTTTTCTTAGCATCACCACCTTAAGGAGTCTCTCTCTCTCTCTCTCTCTCTAATAACTATAGTATTATGTCCCCTGCCCCTAATTTTACCACCATGCTTATGACCGTGGCCCTTTGGAGGGCCACAAACCATTGTAATATCTAAAATCTC